CCTTGAGATTAACATACGAAAAGTTTGATAATTGTTCAATTAAACGTATAAAAGCAGAAAAACAACGAAAATTATTGAAGAGAGAGCACTGAAAAATATGTCAGATAAATTGCCTGATTATAATCCAGATGAAGAAGACAAGATATTGGATCAAATGACAGAAGAGTGGTTGTATGAAAAAAAAAAAAAAATATTAAAAAAAGTTTTTTAAGCTGGCGGTTTGAATTTTAGGCCGAAAATTAATTATATTAATTAAACTTAAGTGAGTTCTGATCCTAAATGAATAAAATGGATGAATGAATAATAAAATAAAAAATGTATATTTATAAATAAAATTTCATTTACTATTTTTGTATTTTTCGTTACACCCTTTTAAATTTAATTTTTTCGTTTCTTATTTGTTTTAATTTCTGACTTTTGTCCTTACCTTTTGTTAATATGGTTTTTGACATTAGTTAAAGTTACATAGGTAAGAAGTGAATTTGATCTTTCTTAGTTCTATTTATCAATAAATGATAACCTTTTTGTAAACCTTTCTTCCTGATGATAACCCAGGCGAAGAAGAGAAGATATTGGATCAAATGACAGAAGACTGCTTGGATGAAAAAAATGGATAATAAAATCGATTAACTAACCAAAAGTAAGCTGAATGCAATGAGAAATTTTTTAAACCCAGTTTTTTAAGTGGTTTGAATTTTAGTCCCAAAATTATTTATAACTTAAAGTTAAGTAAGTTCTGATCCTAAATTAATATTTCTTATGGCATTTGAGCAACTCCGAATGTACGCTACTAGTTAAAAAGTATGCCAGATCTGGAGGCGAAGGGAATGATCTGGCTGATGGTCTACACAAGAATTTTCTAATATTTATAAAAACGTTTTAATAATTTTTTTATTTATTCTTCATTTTTTTTTTATAAACTTTTTGCGTATTTGAGTTATAATATAAGCCATAAAGGTCATTACCATGTTTAAGAATATACCACGTATTAAAGTGTGGTATAGTATTAATGATATATTGAAATATGCGTGTGTGTGAGGCGTTTGCCAAAAATTGTTTGCACGTCTTATACAATTACAAAGATTTGTCTTCACAACAAATAAATGATTTATTATCTTATCTATCCGTGTAACCTTAATCAAGCAATATGACTGAAAAAATTGACAACGGGGATGCTAACAGTAATAGAGAATTTAATTTGAATTTTGTGGGACTATTATATAGCAATTTTGCAAATTACTGAATTAAAGGGACATAAAAATGATACGAAAGTAATTGCAATTTTACTTGCCAATTGAAGGTTGGTCGAAAACTTTTGCTTATGCGCCAAAGTAATAAGCATATAATATAATAAAACACCTTTCGTTCGAAATATTCGATTGAGGTTATTATATAAAGCAAAGCGGCCAACGCGAAAGCGAATAAAACATCCGTGGTAGAAAACCGCAGGAGGAAGAGCAAACCCCGGTAATTAAAAGTACCCGTAAAGAAGACGTAAACACTTTGAGTTAAAAATAAAGAAGAAGGAAAGAAAAAAAGAAGAGCGCAACGCTGCGGTTGCGGCACTCTTAGTTTGTTGCTTAATTTATAATCTAAGGTAAATTTATAGGTCACTTAGAGATTGCAGCCTTTAAAATATGTTGTAGGTTGTGAAAAACGTGTTCGAGGAGTATTTTTTATGGTACGACCACCGCGCGTACGGTATCGTCTCTCGGTACCGGATAGAACCGACGGCCAAGCGATACAGGGTGTTTCGCGCTCCCTGTGGATCACGAATTTAACAATATTGCACACAGGGCGTCTCTTTTTCAAAGAAGCTTCTCCTATAACGTTTAAAAACTTTACAATTACCGTTCCTCTATCTTTAAAAGCCTTATCACCATTAAACTTCAAAAAAACAAAAAAGACAAGAAATGTTCAGGCAACAAGCAAATTGTAAGTGATTTTCGAGTAAGTTCCCTAAAATTTTCCATCCAATTTTTGATTTTTATATACACGTACACATTTTCTTTTTTTGCCATAGTTATCTCATGCGAACTAATAATTTTAAAACAGTTGCTGTGTATTATTTCATAGGGGTTGACTCGGAACAATTTTAGTTGCTTTTATCTCCTGTTTTTGCAGTTTATGTGGTTCATTGGTGTTTTATTGTATTGTAAAGTGAACATCGCAGAATAAATGTATTATTATTATTATCATTATAATAAGTCACCGAAAATATTTAAAAAATACAAAACTATTGAAAACAATTTAGTTAAACCAAAAATCCCTCCCTCAAATGTCAAATGTTGGGAAAAATTTAGTTTTCCACCATACCTTTATACAGGGTGTATCAAAAAATATTGGGCTAGTTCCTAATAGATATATAGAATATTAAAAAATTACATTAGTTTGGTTAATCAACATGTGTCCGAACATTAATAAAAGAGGCCCCAAAAATCGTATTTTATTATTTTTGGAACAGTTTAAGATAATAATAATAAAGCTTTGTTGCTTTAAACATAACCAACATTGACCGGCATTGACAAAATTTTATCCCGAATTAAATTTGGTAGCAAGAAACGTTGCAGCTTAAAATTTAGCATTAAATTGACTGACGGGAGCAGACAAGGCTTGAAATGGAAGTGGGGGGAAATTTAGGCCAAGGAAGTATTTAAGTAAAGGACAAATTAAAAAATGAAAATGAAATCTTGCTAGTATGCATTTCGCTCACCCAAAACTTATTTTTCAGGGCCATTAGCGACCTATAAAACTCTATTAAGGAAACACACTAATTAATCAAATTTACAATTTTTCAAATGCTCCTTTCGATGCTGTGGCACAGTATCGAGATTCGAATTGTGGATATCCATACGAAATCTGGTTTGTCACACAGACACCTAAATAAAATTGGCACCACATGGTATAGAAGTATCGGAGCGTCGCTAATTTGAAGATTGTTTCAGAAACAACATCGTTATTTTTAATATTATATTTACTCTAGAAATTAGAGGATTTTTTGAAACACCATACAGTGGATTATTGAAGTGCAAAAGATTCAAGGAACCATAATGCTCTTACTAACAAAAAAAGTTCCTATAAGGGCGATTTAGAAAATATTTTTTTCAATATCGGTTGTTTTGTGAAATTATTATGAAACTGCGCTTACAAATAGATACTTTTGGTGCAAATGGCTCGGAGCAACGGTTTTCGAGGCAACTGAAGGCAAAATGTTTGCCAAACCAATATTTTAAAAACGTTTTAGCTAAATTATTTATTTCTTGGTAAGTAGTTCGCAGGAAAATCTGCATATATTTCTGATAATTGTGAAAATTCTGTCATAATGTTTAAATCGTCTTTTAATTAAATAACGAACTTCACATTCAATAGCATTACATTTTCATAATTTACTCAACTAACCAAAACTAAAAATATTTTGCAATTTTTGGTAACGAATGGTTCGTCTGAATCCTGATTTCCAAAGTATTTTAATCTAAAGCAGGTGATAAAATTGTTATATGTTCCTAAATTTGAGTTTTGAAATCGTCGGCCATTTCTAATACTAATAAAGGTATTGAAAGCACTTTTCGTATAACGTCGTGTATTGTGGCTAACCCTATATAAATAATTAAGCACGAAGCAAAGATAGTACCATTCAGTAATTAAGTGCAGGATTTATTAAGAGACAACGTACATGTTCCCAGGTGATCGCAACACATATTTATAGATGCCTACCGTTACAAATGCGAACATTTAAATGGGCATACTAAATCCTGAACACGAAATACGACCATTGTAATGCAGTTCCCGTTGACCAAACCCGTGGAACTGATGTCGCACTACTGGTACACGTTTAATTAGATCAATTTTTAAAAGTTTCCAAGTTTTAACAGCTTCCATTAAATCGACTACAAAGTAAGAGCTTACCAAGACCGTAACCGACGAGGACCGATGTAAAAAACGTTATTATAATCTGCTTAAAAAATATGTTTCCCTCAACCATGACTGCGTGTTATGGATAATTCAATTTCACCACAATTTAACACTGTTTGCTTATATTATTGGCGGGATAATAGATATGGATCGGACCCCGACATCCATCGTGTGTAACTAATCTACTTACAAGTACATTATATCCCAACAATGGGCCAATACTGGACGCTGTTTTTCTCGTGAAATATCCTTAATGGCGAAGCATTATTTGAGCGTTGCAACCTTCTATTCACTATCGATTTCATCAAAAGGATTCGTGCAAAAATAAAACGTATTGCCACAATTTAATAAAACTTTTTAAAAAATACAATGCAACTTAGTACGCTTGTATTAACTCAATTACCGAGGCTGCATCTTGGGTCAACAAAGGAAGAAAAAAGCGGCGATCGAGTTTTTCGTCGTTTTTCAGCATTATTCTTAAGAAATGAAAACATAACAAAAATTGCTCCGGAAATTAACATATGAAATATATAAGCGCGACTAAAAATGCCGAGACAACATCGATACGAAAAACAAGGCGACAACATGACGTTAATATAAATTAAAAACGTTTGTTTTTTGTGTAATTCAATTTCTATACTATTTATAGCGGTAAATCAAATTTAATTATACTGTGACTGACATATAGCCTGGCGACGAAAAATAAAATTATAATTAAATATACCATTAAATTAAAGGTTTTATCATCGATTTTTCGGAACCAAACGCATTTCTCACCCTTGGATGTTATACTAATCAAATAACTGTCACTTTCGAGTTTTTTCTCAAAGGCCGATCTTAACAATTTTAAATATTTCTCGTCTGACATTAATGGCGGCAAAAACTTGTCACAGGAATGATGCGACAAAATCGTGGCATTCCATTTCCATTTTTTAGCGCTTTTCGTCGTAGGGCATCGAATTGCGCAGGTAAATTTACAAAATTGGTTACGAGACGGCAAAAAACTTGCGACAAAACGTGTATCAACCCCGTGGGGTGAAACATCTGTCTTTTATTTGTAATTACACGATTTTCTGTTTTGTCTTTAGGTTCGACGCAAACAAATCAACCAAAGGTGCCAGCAAATTAAGAAGGGACCTTATTAATGCGGAAATAGCGAATTTGCGAGAACTGTTACCGTTACCACCGTCAACTAGGCAAAGACTATCTCAGCTTCAGCTCATGGCTTTGGTCTGCGTTTACGTTAGGAAAGCAAATTATTTTCAGCAAGGTATGTCGATTTCAATTTATTTTATTGACATTCAAAGCTACCGCGCTCTATTCAAGTTGGGTGTAAAAGCGCAAATATACAAGTCGTAAAATTATATTAGTTCTAAAATTCTAAATATTGAAATCGTGATTGCGGTTCGATTAACCTGTGGAAGTTACGTAACAACAAGAAAAAAAGAAAGTTGTGGATATCTACATTCCACTATAAACCCTACTATTGCAACTTTTCTTCATCATTCACTGCCCTGACGTCTGATTGACATAAATCCATCCCTGTACAAACTACTTATTATAATATTCTAAGAAATACATATAAATTAATGACACAGCAAACATCACACTGCGCTTGTCTTTATAAAATTACTTCTTAATAATATCATCGACATTTAAAATATTTAAATAGTTTCAAATACATTTTCTACCAAAATCTGCGATTCTGTCCAGCACAAACCTTTGTAAAAAAAACTACATCTATTTTGTACAACAAATTCTAAATCTAAACCTGTGGTTTACATTTTCTAAGAAAATGTGTAACATTATTGATTTTGTATATGATATAAATATATAAAACTAAGTTAATTCTGTTCGAAACCATATATTTATTAATGAATAATGAATAGTTTTTTGATTAAAGCATCTATTACAAGTAATATTTTAATCCAATTAGCAATTATAATTTTAGAAATATAAAAATATATATAATGAATAAATGAAACTGAAACCTAACAATTTGGAGAAAAAAATATTAAATAAACACATGAATATATCAATTACTTGGCAGTATGTTACTAGAATACCATTGGTTGTGATTATGTTTATTCAATAAAGTTTAGCAGTGTGATTAGTATAATGTTAATTAAAATGCGTAAAAGACATTACCAAAAGCTTATTGACATAGGTATTAATTTTTTTACACCCATCATTAAAATTAATTATTCCTAAAATCCAGTCATGCTTTACACAAAAATTATTTTTTCAATTTATTTATCAACCACATCTTTATCATAAACAATTAAAATTATGATAAAAAAAATGCTTTAAAAAATCAACGCAATCAACCGAAACAATTGTTTTGTTAATATTTATTTATTATACAAAAAGCCGAAAATATTTTAAAAACATTTTTATGCAAAAAATTATCCTTTCTTGAAATAAATCATTTCTTTATATGATTTAGGCATAAACCTAGTTCTAAATTTGTCTTAATAGTGGAAATTAAAATAATATACGAGTATCAGCATTTTCATATGGTGTTATGGCTGTTCCTTCATTTCCTAAATGAAATATCTACTAATTTCTCGTTTTTTGAATTTCAATTTTTTGCCTTACGGAGGTTAAATGTTTAATGAAGTGTAACGGAATGATAAATGTGGTAAGGCCTCACATCGTAGATAAGCCAAAAGAAACAAAATTAATTAATTTAATGAGTGTAAAAGCGGTACCTATCTACTAAATAGCAATAAACATTGTCGTAACACACAGCGTATCAATATCAACAGAATTCTCACGGCTGCAGAGACCCGTTCAACGATTTCTCTTACCGAGAATTTTTCAAATGTTTTGTCATCATTTTTCTTCTACAGGGTGCCTCCGATATAGTATTAACACAATTGAATCTTCGATTTTAAAAGAAAAATATGTAATGAAAAAATGCTGGTATGAATAAGCAAAACTTATTGTAGGAGTTTTCAACGAACATTTCAACTAATTCAGCCTGTTTTTTTATATCTTAAAAAATAAAATAACATTTGTAGTGCTAGTTGCTGCCACTATCATAACAAAGTTTTACATAATGTATGTATACCAATTTGTATCAAATTTTTGCAATGTTATTTATTATTGCGTAAACATCAAACACGAAAGATCGTATATATAAAAATAAACATTTTTCCCTGTATTAGCCGTTCCTATTTCTATAACTTATTAATTAATCCTCAACAATTTCGTAAGCAATACATCGTGTTCGTTATCTAAAATCGCTTTAGAAACTGAACTCTACATGAATCAGATAGAAACGGAACTGAAACGAATGGGAAATAAAAAAAAATCGACGCGAAGCAATGAAATAAAGGGTGGATAAAAAAGAACAAGATTAAGGATGCCAAATGAGAATTGCGAATGGGATAGATGACGCCAAGTAGACATATTCTTCAGTATTCCATAAACATTTCAGCGTCAGGATTTCAGTGACGTACAAATCAGATAAGAAGCGTCTGTAAGCACGTATACATGTCGACTTGAGAGTTAATTGACAGTCCAATCAATGGAGGATTTTGTCACTAAGACTCTGAAAAAGACGTTGATTGACTTAATATTGGCCAGTTCAATTTCAATAAACAATGGGTAATTTCATTTGTATACTTGGGAATACTCGTCAGCCAAATATACGTGATTTAATGTTTTCTTATTGTGCGATGCTTTCCATCGAACGTTTCGACAAGAAAATCGAACTGCAACCGACATTTGGTGCAATTGAGTTTGTCTATATAAGACCATAGCATGAGACGCTACTTATTCCCAAAATAAAAAGCAGCGATTATAACTCGACGGCGAATTATGCACAAATTCACAAATTATATTTTAATGACACTCATATTTATGATTTTGTGACTTTGTAGGCCGAAATTTGAATTTGAATTTAAAAAAATAACTTTCAAAGCTTAGTTAAAGTTTTTTCACCCTGTTAAAGTAATATTCGTATTAACTAATTCACCCTTTCTGCTTAGCTATTTTTATCTTTTAATCGTCTACTTGCTCATTAATTTATATCAAAGATTATTTTTAAATAAAAAAAATCTTTCCAATGCTCCAAGGTGTTAGATAGACTATTTGCCTTGCCGCAAAGTTAAATTTCAAATATTATTTTTACAAAACGTGAGTTTTAGGCCTGGTGAAGATGAAGAAAATACAAAAATAAATAAATCTTCTATAATGAAGTGGCTTTAAATTATCAGTCGGAGTACTCTTTTAGATTAATGCAAAACTCTTAAGTTGAAAATAAGAATTCCTAAAATTTTTCCATCCGTGAATCAATACGTGAAATATATATATATATATATATATATATATATATATATATATATATATATATATATATATATATATATATATATATAAATATAAGCGCAAAAATAGTTGTTCGTCGTAGGTTTCTTTAGAGAATCGCTCGGAAACACGAATAAACTGCAATGCGCCTACATTTCGGAGTTATAAATTAGAGAAGCCGAGATTAATTGAGCATTGTAACCTAAAGTGCTTAAAAATAAACCAACTGACACTAAAACGGTAAACAAAATCAGTGTATCAACATAGCTTGACGAAATCCTTAATGATATGCGAGCACTCGCGCAGGAATCATAGGGAGATTATGATTATCATCTGAATCATTTAACGCAGTGTGCTTGGGAAACGTTTTAAAAAAAATGAGTTAGATACTTAACTAAAGCGTGTTGAAATGCTGTTAGGAATAAAAAATTGTCCCCGATAATTCACCGGTACGTTACACGGTTTTAATCTTAAAGGATCTAAATTTGAATAAGGAAAAATGTTGAAGAGTGTTTTGTTATGTTCTTCGACTCCAATAATATATTTATTCGATGAAGGCCGTTTAAACGAATTGAAATTAGTATTACTAGTAAATAATATAATAATATATTTATTGAATACAATTATTTTGCATTTTCAAGGAATAAAAAATACTTCATATATATATATATATATATATCGTTTATTGACCATTTACAAATACAAAACGTATTTTTAAAGTCAGCAAAAGAATAACAATTTATAAAATAACTTAAAATAATTTAGATCTACTGTGCCCGATAAGTAACAAATTCGTTTATGGAATAGAAACAATGCTCTTCAAAAAACTTTTTTGATAATTGTTTGAATTTTTTGATGGAAAGTCGTTTAATATCAATATTTTTGGACCGAAAAATAGTGTTTGCAAAAATATTATACAATTCTAGATTAAGTTTATTTTTTTGTGTAGTACACAACCTCGATCTTAATGTTTTGATATTGTCAGCTGTTCGCGTCATGTAACTGTGATATCCACCATGAGTCGGAAAAACAGACAAATTTGAGTGGATTTCAACTAAAGTTTGGAGAATAAACATACATGGTAACGTAAGTATTTTCAATTCTTTGAATATTGGGCGGCAGTGGCTGGACGGCGGAACACCCCCAAGAACCCTAACCGCAGACTTCTGCAATCTAAAGGCTCTCTCGGCCTCCGTCGCGTTCCCCCACAGTAGTAGACCATAAGATAAGATACTATGAAACAGTGCAAAATAAACTATACGGAGAGTGCTTTGCGAGATCGAACCTCGCAGTTGTCTCAGAACAAAAACCTGAGATGACAATTTACCGCACAGGTAGTCTATATGAGGCGACCACGTTAAAAACGCATCTAGGTAAACACCAAGGAGTTTGACCGGTTCAGATTTTTTACTTCTTCGATTGGTATTGAAAATTAGAGTCTTTGTTTTATCGGAATTTAATTTAAGTTTATTTGCAGAGAACCAGTGCTCAATCATAGAGAGTGTAGTGACAGCCTTTTTATTTAAATTAGTTAGATCTTTCTCCGATTCAATCAATGATGTGTCATCCGCATAGAGTATACTGCGAGCAGCATTTGTTGCAAATACTACATCATTGACATATATTATAAACAAAAGTGGACCAAGGATGGAACCCTGAGGCACTCCATTAGTAATGTCCAACAGAGTGGATTCCCGATTATTCCAGACAACATATTGCTTTCTTCCGGTCAAATAAGATTTTAAAAGGGCTAAGGTATTTTCACGAATTCCGTAGTACTCAAGTTTAGACAGAAGTATATTAGTATCCACGCAGTCGAATGCCTTGGTGAGGTCGCACATCGTTACCGAAGTCGACAGGCCCTCCTCAAACCCATCAATCACATGCTCAATCACTGTGTATAAGGCACGGATGGTGGACCTACCTGACCGAAAACCAAATTGGGAATCTGTTAAC